TGGCTCCAGAAGTCTTTAAGGATGGTGGTCCAATTTTAGCGGTTAGGTTGACTAATATTTTAGCTAAGATCTGGGAGTTAGACGTTATTCCATCTGACTGGTCACAATCACTTATCGTTCCAATATATAAGAAAGGGTCAAAATCATCCTGTGACAACCACAGAGGGATTAGTTTAACTAATATAATATCTAAAATACTAGCCTCGATAATTATCAGACGCCTAACTAAGACTCGTGAACTGCAAACACGAGAAAACCAAGCTGGCTTCAGACCTGGTCGTGGCTGCATCGACCACATATTCACCATTCGTCAGGTTCTAGAACACAGGCATACTTATCGGCGTCCGATGATGGTGGTCTTTCTTGACTTAAAAGCAGCATTTGACTCGGTAGATCGCGAGGTTCTGTGGCAGTGTCTGTCATTGAAAGGCGTACCCCAGAAGTACATAAACCTTGTAAAGGCTCTTTACTCGAACACTACTAGTCGAGTGAGAGCTTATGGCGAACTGTCATCTACTTTTGCAACCTCAAGTGGTGTCCGTCAAGGATGTCCACTTTCCCCATTTTTGTTTAACTTCATCATAGACCTACTAATGGAAATAACTTTCTCGTCGACTGAGTTCTCGGGTATTGATCTCCATCCAGGAGGTCCACTTATCGACTTAGAATACGCAGATGACATAGTCCTGTTTGGTGAAGACGCTGACAAAATGCAGAGTCTTCTGGTAGCACTGAGCAACAATGCCAGGATGTTTGGAATGCGCTTCTCTCCCTCTAAATGCAAGTTGTTGCTTCAGGACTGGTCTGCGTTAACACCTGAACTAAGGACAGGGAGTGAATTAGTCGAACGCGTTGACAACTTCACTTATCTTGGAAGTCTGATCAGCCCTAATGGGTTGGTATCGGACGAAATCTCAGCACGGATTCGAAAAGCTCGTTTGGCTTTTGCCAACTTACGTCACCTGTGGCGAAGGCGAGATATCCGTCTATCAATAAAAGGACGAGTATACTGCGCGGCAGTTCGTTCTGTTTTAATTTACGGCAGCGAAACATGGCCTTTAAGGGTAGAAGACACTCGTAAGCTACTAGTATTTGACCACAGATGCCTAAGAAATATTGCTGGCGTCTGCTGGGATAATCGGGTAAGTAATAGTGAGGTTAGACGCAGGGTATTAGGAAAGGATGGTAAATCAGTTGACGAGGTTATGAATCTTCATCGACTGAGATGGTTGGGCCACGTTTTACGTATGCCTGAACACCGATTACCACGACGTGCAATGCTATCCGGTATTGGATATGGTTGGAAGAAAGTTAGGGGCGGCCAAACCAAAACGTGGCATCAGTGCTTGAAGTCACTAACTTCTAGTCTGAGCCATGTTGGTAGATGCAGACTACTTGGTTGGGGTCCGCGTGACTATCGTAACCAATGTTTGGAGACTCTTGGTGACATGGCTCAGAATCGATCACAATGGCGTCGGTGTATACACTCCCTGTCTTCCCTTAAACTAAGAGATTAAAAGCGCTTCATATCTTTCTTTCTACGAACCAATTCTTTCTTCTTGTACTATATCTCTATATGCAATCTTTCTCTTATATATTACCACCTTTTACCTAACCACTGATATGAATCCGGTGTTCATCTTGTTGTGCTGATGCGGTATGGCAACCTGGACCGATGCACATATGTGCCCGGTCCTACGTTGTAACTGACTGACTGACTGACTGTTTGTTGTGTATCCGAGTCCCATATTCAAAACTCTAGTGAAGTACTACAAATTCGCTCTCCATCTGTTGCTTCAAAAAGCTTGTTTCACGTGCGTTTATCCAGGGACCCTGTGGCATCTTCGTCTGGTCTTGCTGGCGTTGGTATCTCACTAAGCGCTAGAGCTGCAACGGCACTAATCGATCGAATCCCTATTAACAGTCGGTTATGTGCTGTTAGATTAGAAAGTTCCATCAAAGTGAGAAGAAATCGGCGTCATCTCCGCCTATGCTCCGACAGATTGCAGTCCGGATGCAATCAAGGATGGGTTCTACCACCAGTTAACTGTTTTTCTACAGAAAGTGCGTTCGACAGATATTGTAGTACTAGCCAAGAGACTTGGATACTCAGGTCGGGCGTCTAGGCACAGAAGAGAGTCGTTTCGGTAGCCGATGGGGACTTGTTAGTCACAGGACAGATAACGGGAACCGTCTACTGCAACTATGCACAGACCACAACCTGTTTCTGGCTAGCACTAACTTTCGGCACAGTCATCGCCGATATGCCACCTGGCGTCCTCTCTCTGCATCTCAATCCTCGACTCAGATTGATCACATCGCGATCAGCTACCGCTGTCGTGGTTGTGTACAAGACTGCCGCTTCTTTTAGAGTACTTATCTGGACTCTGACCAATCCTTGGTCTGCACCAATCTTATCTTACTTTTCAGTGGACAATGAAGCGACTGCTACCAAAGGATTAATGTCAGCAAGTTCGTTGCAACTTCTGTTGCAAGTAAGTATCGAACCGGGCTAGCTTCTAGGCTAGCTACCATTCCACCGAAAAGTATAGATGAGCATTGGTCGCAACTCCATGACGCCATGAAAATGGCGAGTAAAGTCAGTTGTGGGTTCGCGAAACGTCCCGCTTACAAGCACTGAGTTTCTTCAGTCTCCTGAGAAGTTTATTAACATCCTAAAGGCCCTATATACAAACACCTCAGGCAGAGTGAGGGCATACAACCACCTCTCTCCATTGTTCCATTCAAGCAGTGGGGTTAGACCGGGTTGCCGAATCTCACCATTCCTCATCAACTTTGCCATCGATGACATTCTTGAAACAGTTCTGATGGATGTAAGTAATGGCGGTGTGGATTTGCATAAGTGGTGGTGGTGGCGTGAGTGATGGGACCGATTCACGTATAATGAAAGCCAGAGCGGTTTATGCCAATCTGGGCCATCTTTGGCGCCTTCGTGATGTTAGTCTGACTGTAAAAGGTCGGATCTACAATGCGTCGGTGAGAGCAGTTTCTCTCTATGCTTGTGAAACCTGGCCTCGCCGAGTTTAAGACGTTAAACGACTCTCTGTGTTCGATCATCGTTGTCTCCGAAGGATTACTGACATCCAGTGGCAACACCATGTTAGTATATTGTTGATCCTTCACGACTCCTTGGCTCCTGGCTGGGATCCGAGAGATGGTGGGACACAGTGGCTAGAGACGTTATCAGATATGGCTCAGTGGCGATTCTGCTGTAACGTTCTTCTACTTTCTTCATCAAAAGTGGTTAATCTACTTTAACTGAAAGATTTCTTCTGATTGTACCTTTCCGTCTACCCCATTATTATTATTACTGTTATTATTATTATTACACTACCTTACACTAATCTAGTCGTTATTGTTCTTTTTTACGCTCCTTACCTTCTGTTTTTTCTCTTCGAATTCTCATTGTTTTTTGCGGCGCATATATATTTGGTACCCTCTTGTACCAATATTTATGTGTTCAAATAAAAATATAAATAAATAATACGGTATATTGTCCCTATAGTTATTAACCCGTTTCTGGACTTAATTGCGCAACATGCTACCTCACATGTACCACTAACATGTGCCTCGGATGTGATTGATTGTATACGAAAGTGATCCCTAACGTATAATATTATGCCTCCTCGCGTGCAACTTAAAACTATCACTTCTAATACAGATTTAACCTGCGATGATGGGAGAACAGTCTATATCTACGGCGAGCCAAGTTTCTGTGACGACAATTATATCGGGACTTAATTCATCCACCACCGAACTTAGCTCGGACGCTTTATTTCGAAGACTATGGGCGTTCGTGTAGCACACTTTTAAGGTGCTTTGGGAATCATTCGTTTTACCCATACAGGTCTCAGAAACATTGGCTTCCAAGATCTGACTACGCGAAGGCCCTTAATCTTAAGGTTCGTTTCATCATTCAGCTTTCGAGCTCTTAACTCCGTAAAAGCATTCTTCTACTTGATTCGATCCTCAAGCGGCCAATTTAGTCGGATACGAATATTTAAATCACGAGTTTTGTGTACGTTTTTCAATATTATGTCTCTTTCCTTAAAATTCTCGAGTGCCAACTTCAAGATCCTTCTTGGTTGGGTCTCGCCTCTAACCCATTTACCGAGTCGTATTACCTTCGTTATATGTACCCCTGAAACTTATTCAGGCAGTACATTTCCGTCTACAGGTTGCACTAACTGCAAATCGCGTGCAAGTCTTACTTTGGGACTTTGGCGGAGTGGTTTTGGCTACGTTTCCGCATCATCCATTTCCTATCAGTCTCAACATCTCAGGACGGTAATGGTTTTATCAGGATCGTCAGTCGCTGTTGTAGCAACTTGACCGCCAATATCTAATGGTTTAACGCTGATTAATTGTTTCGGGGTAGAAAGCTCGATTTTGTGTTGCACAGTTGAGTATCTGGCAAGTGCCGTGACAGCACTTACGACACTGACGCAATCTTCGCCTTCAGTACCAGCGCAACCACCATCTTTCTTCTTACAGGTTAAAGCTATTAGGTTTATAGCCTCCTGGATTAACAACGTTTTATTTGCACAGCGAAACATGCAAAGCACATGCGAGTTAGGCTTCCAGCATCTTTTGTATGTGGTGGGACTTAAACGGGTACACATCTTATGGAACCACTTTTTACACTCATCGCACTGCATCCCTTCGTCCACTGGGAACAAACAGTTTGGCTGTCCATATTTATAAGTACAACCAACCATCGTAATCAGATTGTTTAAAACACAATATGGACACAAGTGTCAGTCAATGAGAAAGAAGGTACCACAAGACAAAGTTTGGCAAGATTTCACACCTTAACCGAAATACTTCAGGTTAGAGTGGACCAAAAATGCTTTTGATGCAGAAAGTACACAAAAGCAAGAATAATCACAGCAAGTACAAAATCACTACCCTTTTAATTGGTTTTAATTTATTTCTCAATGAATAGTCTTTTGGAGTGTGTTATTTTTTATATCATTTAGGTGCTGAGTGTTCAGTATGTCGTCAGAAGATGATTGGTCGAAGTTGCCCACTCTGTCCAAAGTACAGCACAAGGTACTTAACATTCTTCCATCGTAATCCTAACCCTAGCTCTGGAACGCACGTGTGGCAGGATACGAAGAAGCGTTCAAAATATTTTCAACAGAGACAAATGGAAAAAGTCCTGTTTTTAACGAATATGTTGGATTGATGAAGAAGTTCGTGACTGATTCTCATGCTGGAGCTCAGGAAAAAGCTCTGGATGCTGTCTTAGCATATATAGAAACAGCTGCAGCAGCTACAAAGTAACTTTTGAGTTTTCTCCAACTTTTGTTAGATGCGCTGGAGATATTTGTTCTGGTATCATATCAAAATGTCTGGGTTCTACTCGAATGAAAACAAAAGACAAGTCAATTGAGTGCCTATTGATGCTGATAGAAATTGAGCGTCATGAATTAGTGATAGAAGAGCTCATTAAAGGTTTATCAACTAAAAATCCAAAGGTTGTTGTCGGAAGCTTACAGACTCTTCGTGAAGCTCTAAAGTGAGATTAATTTCACTAACTCTTTATTTGTACATAGCCTTTTTGGTCCAACTGTTGTTCCGATCAAACCTCTTTTTAAAGAGTTTGGACGACTACTTGATGATCGAGACCAAGGGATCCGAAATGAAACGAAAAATCTCATCGTTGAGGTCTACAGATGGATAGGAGTAACCACAAAAGACCTATTAAAGGATATCAAACCAGTTGTGGTATGTATACCAAGTGTAGTTTTAAAAACGACATTCAGATGACTGAGTTATGTGAATTATTTAACTCTATTCCACCCGGAAAACCTGTTCGATTAAGATATTTACGTAGTCAAAAACCTAAAGAAATTACTCCAGATACTGGGGCTGAAAGTGATCACATTAATGGCGCTATTCCAGGTGGAACTTTAACCGATCAGGTTGATTTGGATGATATGATTACTCCTGTTGAAGTTCTTAGCAAAATCCCCAGCGATTACTGGCAACAAATAGTAAGTTCTTCGTAATAAGGTTGATTTCGTCTTTCAGGGGGAAAAGAAGTGGCAAGATCGGCGTGACGCTTTAGAGGCACTTGAAAAAATTACGAACGTTCCTCGGATTGTTCCAGGTGATTTCACAGACCTCGTGAGAAGCTTGATTCAGGTACGTTGTGACCTAATTATTTCTGGAATCTGCAGGTTGTAAATAAAGATACTAACATAATTCTGGTGACTCTTGCTGCTAAAATTTTGGGACAAATAGCAAGAGGGTTAAAATCTAAGTTCAGTCCTTACTCCCAACAAACTTTACAAGCGTGTTTAGGGAAGTTTAAAGAAAAGAAGCCTAATGTTGTCCAAGCTCTAAGAGAATCTGCTGATGGTGCTGTATCTTCGGTATGTTTTTCTATTTGTACATAAATAACGTGGTGTTTCATCATTTCATATTGACATACAAGTTTACTAGGTCTCACTTTACATTTGATTTTTTTCCAAGGTAACTTGAATTTTCTGTTTTCAAATATCCATAGTTTACTTATGATTTCAGCTCTTTAAGTTAAATATCTGATATACTTGAACCTCATTGTGTCTGTGTCTAAGATCCTTTTCGGTATATTGTCGTGTAGCAATTAGTATGAGTAAATAACTTGAATGACAAATATCTAATATTTAGTATTATTTATTTGAACACATAAATATTGGTACAAAGGGGTACCAAATACATATGCGCCACACGAGTCACTTGGTTCGTTTGTGGGTTGTGATACTACTCGGGTGCCCAGATCGGAGCAGGTGGTCTGATCCACTAGGCAGTAGAGCAACGTTAGGAGATGCAGTCCCATGGTAGCCAGTGACCAACAATAGGTTCATATACCATCTGTTACTTCAGAATCCTGGAGCCCATGTGCACCATTGGTTTGGAATCAAGGTTTCCCAACTCCCCCAAGTAGATCGTCCGTGTTCACAAACCCGGTTATTACACCGGACATTCGCTCTTCGTCCTCTCAATTTTGTAAACAACACCCTCGCCCCGAGATGACAGTGAGTAGGACTTACCTGGCAGTGGCTGTATATGTGTGGTCATGCAAGAGCATTCCGAGAAGAAATGACTCTCCGACATATATTTAAGTTTGAATTTGAAATTTTTGTTCATTGATTTATAGTGACATTCTGTTTTGGTTATCCCTATTGATTCAGTAGGTAAAAGTTGTCTATTTTGTAGTTATAGAATGTTTGATCGAAAAAGCCGCAAATATCTCTTCAGCAAGTGCACGTTATTTAGGTAAAGGACTTTTCTACACGACCCAACCGAAGCTGCTACCTTGACGCGCTGGTTGGGCTTGCCTATCGTGATGACCCAACCGAGCTATATTGGCTGGAACATATGTTCCTGTAGGTTCTACCATGCCAGGAAGGTCGATTGGAGAACGGCAAGACTAAAAGCAGCAACTCAAGGTCTGAGGGCGAAGTCGTACTGCTGACTGTAGAGAGGTGTGACAGCAGTAAGGTGTTTTCCTCGGACAACCAGCATCTGCAGCGATGCTGCCTTCTCACAAGGAGGGGTGGGTTTAGAAAAGGTCGACCCTAAAAATGTCACACCTCACCTTACCTCACGGATTTCCGTCTCCGGCGGTAAGGCCCTTTGAAGAACGGAGCTAACTCATTAATAACCTTCCAAAAAAGGGCCGTGCGCGACCGGCCTCCAGCAGTTGTCCCTCTGGCTCTGCGGTCACGCTCCCAGGTCGTTAAGACCAACACTAATCCAATTTCATTTTCAGGTTCCTCAAGAAATACCCTTCCACGGTGTGAGCAGCCGAGAAGTGATATCAGCCCTCATACCCGTAACAGCGCACTGACTTTCTACAAGTACCTGCCCCCAAATGCTCTGGTACGGCGGAGAGTGGGAAGAGTCCGCTCTCCCTCCCGAAATGCTGTCACATGGCCACGCGTATATAGCCTCTGCCAGGTAAATCCTACTCACTGCCTTCTCGGGGCGAGGGTGTTGTTTACAAAATTGAGAGGACGAAGAGCGAACGTCCAGCGCCCTAACCGGGTTGGTGGACACGGAGAATCTACTTGGGGGAGTTGGAAAGCCTTGATTCCAAACCAATGGTGCACTTGGGCTCCAGTATCCTGAAGGAACAGATGGCGTATGAGCCAATCGTTGGTCACCGGCTACCATGGGACTGCATCTCCTTACGTTGCTCCACTGCCTTGTGGATCAGATCTTCAGGTCGGAAGCTCCGGGTGTGGCCTCCTAAGAAAACCACCTGCTTCGTTTTGAGAACCCGGGCAGCATCACAGCCCTCACATATCAAATGAGATCTGTGTGGCGCATATGTATTTAGTGCCTCCTTGTACCAATATTTATATGTTAAAACAAATAAACCTGCAAATACCATACCACATTGTTTATTCGCCGCATTTAGAAACTTGATCAATAAGTTTCAATACCGAGAACTAAATAGAGTCACTACTTATCGTGCAGCTATCGATTAGTTATTAGTTAGTGACAGGTATTGGGTTAGTTTTTCAGTCCCTTAGTTTATTGCGAAAATGTTAGGCACTGTTCAATGCGGCTTTTTGATTATATATGTGTAATACGGTAATTTTTATTTTTAAACTTATGAGATTTCAGACACTTTCTAAGCTTATATCAAATAAGCTTATTTAAAACACGATTATAAAAGTATCATCGTTGTAATCGTCTTCTCTTTACTTTTTATTTTTGAGAATGTGGATTGTATTCTCACACTAGAGATATTATATCAATTTCTAGTGATTTATTTGTTTCATATTCTCATTTTATCGATTTGAATTGAGGAATTTGTATGTGATTTTGTCTTTTAATGCTATGGTAATATGACATTTTAACGTGTGAATTTTTCAGCTACCTTAATTATACTTTCTTCGGTAAACGACTTCCTGTTTACTGTTCAACTCACTTCATTCATTTTTCACAGATAGCACTAGCACACTATGGTATACCATTTCAACAGTTATATGCTCCTTCGTATAGCTCTAGTTATGGTCAAACTAGTTTATAACTGTACTTACCATTCTTTTTTTTAATGTTTTACGTCACACTCATAAGTTCTGTAATACTTGCTAGAGAGTAGCCTAATGCACTCACCTGTTTTAAATTAATAGTTGGTGGTTAATGACGTATTTTGTCTTTTAATTTTTGAAGTGCAATTTTGATTATTCCTTTTAACTTATTACTTATTTCCTTCCATAGATTTTTTCCTGTTGATTCCTTAAGGTTCCATTTAGAGTTGTTGCTGATTCTAGCATTACATATACGAAATTATTTTTATTTATAAAAGAGGACACTAGAGACTTCGCCGTATTAGTTAACGTTCTTCGCTCTTAAAGCACAAATAACTCTGAAAATCACTTACTTCTTTGGAAGGCTTGGATATTGTATTCAGTCGAGTAGGTAAGATATTTATAGGATCTAATCACATGCTTGGTAATGGATTATGATTGTGTCCTTATATTTAATGAGATTTCTAGGTCTTAATATACCTGGTGAATTAGGGTTTTATTGATGTGTGTATGTGTCGATTATATAACATAAAGGCTTCTTGATTATGCGATTCTAGTAGTAATGTTTTAATCCTCCTTCTTCAATCTCCTATACTCCGCTGCCGTTACTTTATCTTATGTTGTTACTACCAAAGTTTTCCTAATGTTTACTATTTTTCGCTTCCAGACTTCACTAGATCATTTTGTGGATGATATTGTAGCCGCATTAAGTCACAAAACACCTAATGTACGTGCAGAAGCAGCCTTAATTCTAAGTAGAGCGTTCAAAAAATGTTCTGCCACATCACTAAACAAAAAGGTTTTAAAATCATTTACTGTGCCGTTATGTGTAACATGCAATGATACTGTTCCTGAAGTGCGTGAATGTAGTTTTGCTGCGCTTGGTGCTGCAATGTTCGTCGTGTCGGCAAAAACTATCCAGCCCTTTCTCAGCGAACTTGATTCCATCCGGCTGGCGAAAATCAGTGAATGTTGCGAACGAATAGCGTCTGAACTTAGTAATTCAAATAACTCTGGTTAGTTTAGGATTTCTGTTACATTTTCTATCAGTGGTACATCTTAATTTCCAATCTTTATTTATAACCACATGATATTTCTGTTTTAGATTACTTGACAATAGATAATTATGTAGTGTTTTGTTATAATCCAGCCTAACGCACACGTGTAAGACGAATTCAGGCCACTGAATTGTGAGAAATTAATTTGCTAGCGTAGTGAGTAAACATGCTCGAAGGCTCCTAGTCTAGTTACAATAATTTACCGTTTTATTACGAACATGATGTTTCCCTATTCTTCAAATTGTAAATTGTTGGTCATAGTAATTTCAGCTGATTACGATATTAGTGTTTTGCGGACTGAAGTTGTAGGATGATATAAGTACTTAAAGTCCCTAAAATTAGTCAAAATTGTTTCTGAAACCTTAAATAGCTAAATCGATTAGAAGAGTATATATCTGTTACACATAACGATAAAGTTAAGCAACTGGTGGTACATCAGTAGTTCGAAGTTTCTGAAAGAAATAGTAGGAAAATGCCAAGTGGTATCACTATTTAACTTTTGAATTATCACAACAGTCTGAAAATGTTTCAAACCATCTTACAATAAGTTGATAACTTTGATAAATTTTAGTGAATTTTTCTTCTCGACAGATTGATATTCCAGTCAGTCAGTAACAACATAGAACTTTGTACGTACGTACATTAGTTCGAGTTGCCACACCACATTAGCACAGAGATGCCGTTGTCGATTCAAATCCCGTAGTGGTAGAGGCGGTAAAAGTATAAGCAGTAATCGGAAAGATTAGGGTTTGGAGATGTTATTTAAAGAGTATAATCCAGTGAAATAAATTTGGAAAGAGAAAAAAGAAACAATGAGGATTCAGGAGATTAGAATTCGGGAGAACACAAAGAGTGGATGCACCTGCGCCATTGCAAACGATTTTGAGCCATGTTATTCGGGGTCTCTAAATATTGGTTGCTATCATCTCGCGGTCCCCAACCAGGTAGTCTACACCTACCAGCATGGCTCAGTTCACTTGTCAGTAACTTCATGAATTTGTGCCGTGTTTTGGTCTGGTTGCTCCTAGCTTTCTTCCAACCTACTCGTATACCATTGGGCATCGCACGTCGAGGTAATTGATAGTTGGGCATACGTAACACGTGTCCCAGCCATCTCAACTGATGAAGTTTCACTACTTCATCAATTGATTTACCATCCTTACTTAGTACCCGTACGTCGGGCCTGAAGAAATATCACTGATTGATATTTCTTCAAGTTCGACGTACCAGACAAATTGTTGCATGTTTTAACGCTGAATGGTAAACCTTTTACAATCACGAAGTCGTCAGTGAACAAATAAGCTTCGGTTTTATACGTAAACTAAGATAGAGTTGTGTTACTTTCTTCCTTTGAGGTTCAAAGGGCTTGAAGATATTCTAATGTCAACCATTAGTTTCTGTCTCCAAACGTAAATAGTGACCAGACAGATTTATAATTATTTATTTTAGGTAGTTAAAAACTCTGAAGATGTCAAAAAACATTTTATAGTCAGAAATAAAGATTAATAGAATTTTCATTGAATAAATCTGTTCACGGAGCTCCAGATATCTCAAGCCGTATAATAGTCTCAGTATATGGATTTTAGATTGACCGTTACATTTGATCTATGATTTCATGACATATTCATATCGACATACTTAATAATGCTGTTTCTTTTGATAAGAATTAACACTGCAAAACGTTAGTTTTATCTTTCAGTGTCACAAAAATCGTTGATTTTTCGTATACTTGTAGGTTTTTAAGTTGTAAATAAACAATTATATCCTATTCAGATCAGTAATCATTACAATCGTCATGATATGGTAACTTGGGTTAACACACACATGTGTGCTAGGTTCTACTTTGATTATGACATTCTAAATGTTGTCAGTATCTGGTTTTTTCTATTTATTGGGAGATGTAATCTGTCGTCTTATTGATCATATGCTCCCCGTACCTTCGTATCCAAAACCTCTCCATCATCACACTGATTAGCAAACATGTAGAGTAGCGCAGATTTTTCTCCATTTAAATGCTTTTCATATTTCAGTTCTGATATGTTTTGCCCTTATTTTTGAGAATACAGGTAACCAACTAACTGCTCCTTCGGCAAATATGTCTACATCTGCTAAACCCAATACTGCACCACGTCGTGCAGCACCACCAGTCACTCGTCCGAATACAGCGTCTAGTGGCACTGGAGAGGCTAATTCCGAATGTGCTACTAAAGCACCAACTTCTGGGCCATCTAGTAAAAAATCGACAGCACGTACGAAATCTGTTATTGAGAAATCGAAATTCACCATTCCAACAGAAAACTTGTTAACAGAGGATGAAATATCTCAAAAAGCTTCTGAGTGAGTTGTTACTAGTATCGCCCACCTTGTTTTCTTCGATATCTTACACCAAATATCAGATGATTTTTATAAGCTAAATGTAATGATTACGAAAATATTCCGAGGAATCTGATTAGTGATTAGAATTTATTTATTCTGTTATAGTATTTTGTTACAAAGCTGCACGGAAAACAAGGTCGATAATGGGTATAGAAAAAAACAATAACTGGACCATTATTGAACATCAGGTCCCAATACATTTGTCAGGGACTCGCTTACGTATTCATAATGTTAGCTTGTTTTGATTGGATACTTAATGATAATTACAGGCTCATTCGCCAGGTAATTGGATATGTGCAGTAATTTGATTGTTAACGCTATTATACTATCCAATTTAATCAAACTGAATTAGATTGAGTGGCATTCTAATCGGAAACTTAGTGGCCGGACGTCGAGTGTCCTAACCACTAGGTCCACCTCTCTACTGCCATGTCAGAAGTTGGAGATGTAGAGTCGTAAATGTGGGGTCATGTAAGTAAGAATTAGATGATAAAGGATGAACTAAAAGGTTTGATGATCAATAATGAAGGAATACTTCCTAACTGCTAACGATTTGATTGAAAGGTAATCCCTAGATTTTAGTACTTCTCTTCGTCATTAAAGCTCCATAAACAACCGTCCCAGCCAGCATTGTTAAATAAATTTACTTCATACTAAGCATCGATTGACAGAAAGAAATATACATAATTTAACGATTTCAGTAAATATGTCCCTACAGTTTCTATACCCAATTCACTTCTCATTCCTGCACAACTACATCTTTTACTTGAACGTGCACTTCAGGCATTAATAAATTGAATTTACGTATCAACAAGTAATCCTTGGGCACATTATATCTTTTGTGTTGATTACCGCCTTTTACGAAATTTTTTCCTATTAAAACTGGAAGGGCTAATTAATCATTTTAATAGATGAGGTCATCCTCTGTAAACTAAATTTATTTGTTTAAAGCACATGTGGTGTTTTTGGTTATTTTAGATAATTATTTGAATGGAAAATTCAAAAGGCTTTTTCCTTGACTGTAATTTCTCATTGAATGTGTTTTAGGCTTCTTGGGGAAGCACTTATCAAGCAATTATCTGATACGAATTGGAAAGAACGCTTGCAAGCGGTTGAACAAATGAAATCTAACATACATTCCTTTACCGGTTCTGACGTACCTACTCAAATTTTGTGTCGTGCTGTTCTACTTAAACCTGGAATCAAGGATACTAATTTTCAGGTACTTAGTGGTGTTTTGAGTGAAATCATTTTTGTCAGCTTTTAAGTGACAATTTATGTCAAATAATTTCAGTATGTTTACTGTCATGGTTTTATCGGTCTGCAACACCTATCAAGTTCTAGTCTTAAACAATCAAACCCAGAATCGTTTACTCTCATTGTTTTCCAACACCCATAACATCGACATTCTAAACTGCGTTGATGTTTTTCCTTGATGTCACTACAATTTTTAAAGTCCTTTTTAGTAGCCTGATAGGCATCTTCGATCTCAGAAGTAACCGTTAATATAAAAAGGAAATTGAGTGAATATATTCACCATCAATTTTATACCTGTTCTCATTGATCAATTAGAACGAACTGTAACCTGAATTATTAATGTTGTATTTCAGTTTATCATGTGCTAGATACAACTGCATGACTTAATTAACATGAAAACCCTAAAAGATCACAAAATCGTTCGTTTATAAATAATAATTGGCTATAGAAATGAAAGGTTGAAAAAAGTGGATACATCTCTGTTGCTCCATTCGGTCTCACCTTATATTCCAAAATACTGTTCATAACATTAGTTGTGGAATTATGAATGAAGTAATCCCAGTGATTGCAAGTAATATAACTCTAGCATTTCACCTGAAAATTTCGTCAAAGTTTCTTCAGGAAAATAGTCAGAATCAAACATAAATAACCTCTGAAATAACTATATGCCAATTTTTTTAAATATTTGCTGACAGTAGAATTTAGGACTCGTGACCGGTGACCAACAATAGGTTCATATACCATCTGTTACTTCAGAATCCTGGAGCCCATGTGCACCATTGGTTTGGAATCAAGGTTTCCCAACTCCCCCAAGTAGATCGTCCGTGTTCACAAACCCGGTTAGGACGCCGGACATCCGCTCTTCGTCCTCTCAATTTTGTAAACAACACCCTCGCCCCGAGAAGACAGTGAGTAGGACTTACCTGGCAGTGGCTGTATACGTGTGGTCATGTAAGAGCATTTCAAGAGAACGAGCTAACTCTCCCCACCCTCGGCAGCACCAGTGCATTGAGGGCGTTCAAATATCCTATTTATTGTTGTTTATTTTCTTGTAGAAGCTTAAACCAGACTGCCGGGTGAAAAGTTGTCATTATTTAAATTGAACGAAATATCTTTTCGGTGACTTGGTTTTCATTGGTTATCTTGCTAAAATCAGTCCGTCATGAAAACTATTATAATACAGCTATCTCCACGAACACCTGTAGCGATAATAAAAATTTGGAAACTGATAGAATTCCTCCCCAAAATCAAGTTTGAATTAACTTTATGATGGTATCTTGTAAACAATTTGCCAACAAATTTTGTGAAAATTCCGTTTATTTTGCATTATTAATACAAAATAATGTGCTTATGTAATCTGTCCTCTGAAAAATTAAGTGTACTAAGTTTTACATATTCGATTTTTTTTGTTTTTATTATCATTATGTTATAAGTTTCCCCACACTAAAGTTTTTTGTTTCGGTGTAAATCGAAATGTGCGTTTGAACTAATCACACACAAGTTGTGACCGTGTATGTATGTTTTGGAAACGACATACTTTCATTACACTGGGATTTTACAATATTGACTGGTTTTTCTTACACTACTATTCAATTCGAAGTCAGAATTTTGTGTTATTTTACAAAACCAAGGGTCGTATTTTATAAATTTGGGGTGTCACCTCTATTACACAAAGTAGATAGAAGTAATTTCTAAAGTGTGTATGTGAGGGGTTAACTTTTCACGGTCATGGAGTCAACGACAAATTGTTTTTTGAGAAACCCAAATGATTGCAACTTAAGCGACAAATATTCAAAGACAATCACATATGACCCTTGAGCGTTGCGCACTGTACTATTTCTGTCTACAGATTGATAGTCATACTTGAACTTCAGCAACAAACATGTGCATATCAAGGTAGTAAAAACATAAGTGGTGATAGTGTCATGCAAAGTTTTCGAAGTGTACGTTCGAACTCACAAACTGGCGTTTGGTTTTTTTACCTACTGTTTACAAAAATTTTCAGTCATACACGTTAAAGAATAACCATATAATCAGGTATTCGTGTACTTATGGGTTCTTTAATCTGACTTTTCCTGTATTAATCAAGGTACTGCGCGCTCGAATTGAGTACATCGATGCAGTTTTATCTTTAAGCGTCTCTATCAGTTCAAATTTGGCTGAGTTACTTTTATCAGATTTGATTGATAAGGTTGGTGATACGAAAGTCGGCGACGTTACAAAAATTGCGATGACAAAATTGGCTGAGAAAACAAGTCTCGAATTAGTTGGTGGTTTTATAATGCGCACACTATTTCAGATTAAAAATCCTCGCAGTCAGACCGAAGGTTTGGCTTGGTTGAATCAAAGCATTCAGGAATTCGGATTTTGGTATGTATTTTTATATGCATGGTTGCTTATATTTACTAAATGAAAATCTCACAATTTAAAAATTATTTTGTTGCTAACCGAATAACGATTGTCCACTTCTCAATCTGCTTAAATTGTTATCACTAACTACAACTAATCCTTAACATAGCGGAGTGATCACAAATCCTGTATCCTCGAAACGACATATTAGAATGATGTTAGGATGCGCAGAAAAATATACCAATAGTTATCATGTTAAGTCGAATGTTGTCCTTGGACGTTAAATGTATATTTCCTATTGGTCGATATTTACTTAACTTGTAAATGATGTTTTCTATTTTTATGGTACGATGTGGTCTGCTTGGTTAGTATATAGACAGAGTGTGTTTGAAATATAATGATTCATATCTCAGAGGCTGTGACTTTCTTTCTGGACTCAACTGGCTGGGATAGACAGGGAAGCAGGGCCAATCGGGGGACTCTAGGTCGTTCGTACGTGTTTATGTGTCACAGAGGCGATCGATAAATACGCTGCTCCATCTAACCTGCAGTCACCCACACGTTATAACAAATGAACAACGCACTAGACGTATTACTCAATCGATGCATACGGTACGATATTATTAAACCATTAGACTAGACCGCTGTGTATACAGGTACACGAGAGAACCTGATTACAAGCCGATCAATAGCTTTATTAGTATATACAAGCAATCCACCTGGTGTAGAACTGAATCGTTTACCTTTAGCAGTAGTGTTTATAGTTAGTGCTCGTTTGTCCTTCCTCGGAGTCCAATGATATCTTACTTCACCAAGTACATATCAGTTCTGTATGCTTTTTTATCGTTTTAGTGTTTGATAAACCTCCTGGTCAACAATTGTAACTGAAGCTTCTAACATCATATGAGTGATTAGATTTTCTGAGTTTATCGCCTTTAACAAAGTTTGAGTAGATGAAAGGTGTCAGAGATTTTCAAGTCATAGAAGCTAGATCTTTCAGGTGTTGTAGAGCACAAAAATGCTCTGCCTTTTTATATCAGTCGACTTTTAACCGTTGAGTTGAAGTTCCAAAACCCTGTCCCGCCTACTTTGGTTCAAGCGACTAGGGATTATCTATATCTCTTGTACAATATTAGTTCAAAATCTAATACATAGATCTGTACATGTCCACTAAGTTTTTTTATCCCCAAAATCCTGTAACATAATCTGTGAATGGAGTTTACTCTCCCTCTTTCTTGCAATAGTTTCATTTGGCAGTGCACTAAGAAACCTTTTAGCAAAGTCTCACTGGTTTTACGCGGTAGGAGTGTTCTACATGTACAAAAAATGAAAGTAGATATATATGGTTTAAACTGAATCAATTTGTACGGAGATTTACTTGTGATACACATACACCCTTGCCGCTGTTAGTAAATTCTCTCTTTCGTCCACCGGCTTTTACGGGGGTATCGTTCGTAACTCTTTGCTGATATACGATTCGAACTTGTATTTAAAAATTCAGTATACGGTTTTGTTTTACATAGTTCTGTTAAGATTATCGTAAAGTATGGTACCCCTTGTCCAAAGTTTCATGTTAAATGTAAGTACGAATGTTCCAATATATCTATTTGTTGCTTTGAATTCTAAATTCTTATTCAGAATGTTCGGGATACTGCATATCAGTCGCCAATAAAAGGAGAAAATGAAACGATTCGAAAGATGAGAAACAAAAAAATAGCATGCACACCTTTAAAACAAAGAATAAAGAATCAAAGAGTGCTTTTGAGTTGGTGTCATAGTACATTGTTCTACTTTGGTTAAGTACATGTAACCTATCTTTTCTTAAGATGTTAGAAAACAAATCTATGACTTTGTAGGTATCATTACCATGGTTTGACTTCGAATAAATTGAGCATTGGGTAGATTGTTATAAATAAATAAATATATTATGTCATAATATTCTTGTTATTCCTTTGTATTATTTAAACTTGGATTAATTTTGGTTTTGTTATGGCTTACACTAAGTCACGAAACACCAGAAAATCTAATTTTTCTACTCATTGGAATATTACAAATATATTATTTATAATCTATGACTTGTCCATAAATCCAATTCCACGTTTACGTACGGGTTACGTTTCATGACAACAATCGACTAATTTGAGGGATCTTTTGCCATTCAATATCGCAATCATGTAATAAATAATGACTGAAAGCTTACCCCCCCCCAATGCCCTGGTGCTGCCGAGGGTGGGGAGAGTTAGCTCGTTCTCTTGAAATGCTCTTACATGACCACACGTATACAGCCACTGCCAGGTAAGTCCTACTCACTGTCTTCTCGGGGCGAGGGTGTTGTTTACAAAATTGAGAGGACGAAGAGCGGATGTCCGGCGTCCTAACCGGGTTTGTGAACACGGACGATCTACTTGGGGGAGTTGGGAAACCTTGATTCCAAACCAATGGTGCACATGGGCTCCAGGATTCTGAAGTAACAGATGGTATATGAACCTATTGTCGGTCACTGGCTACCATGGGACTGCATCTCCTAACGTTGCTCTACTGCCTAGTGGATCAGACCATCTGCTCCGATCTGGGCACCCGAGCAGTATCACAACCCACAAACGAACCAAGTGACTCGTGTGGCGCATATGTATTTGGTGCCCCTTTGTACCAATATTTATGTGTTCAAATAAATTGGCTTTGGAATCTAGGTTCTGTTATAAATAATCGAATGTTACTTGTGTTTAGCGTTTTTCCCAGAACATTCTGTCCTTTCTTCTTGTGCGTAGTAATTGAAGGGATAATTAGTGTTCCGACCTTTCTTGTATGTAAGTTTTTTTAGTCCATGATTTTAATAGCTGAGTATTCTTACCAAATTAATTTTAGATGCTTGATGAATTTGTTTAATTTATTTAGTATTCCACCACAAGAAGTTGGACCACTTCTAAAAACAGGCCTCAATGCAACTAACCCTTCTGTTCGACAAAATTCACTAAATCTTGCTGGGACAATTCATTTATATCTCCATGATCGTTTGGCAGCTCTCCTAGCGGATGAGAAACCGGCTTTGATTACGTTACTAAACGCGGAATTTGCGAAAAACAAAGATAAAAAAGCTCCTGCTCCAACTCGTTTTTCTACTGCCCAAACTCTTCTCAAAGAATCAGTGTCTGCTGAACCCAGCGGAACTGAAGCATTGTCTAGAGATATAGAAACTACCGGTCAAATAGACGAGATGGACTCAGATGTATTACTTCCAAAAGTAGATATCAGGTATTCATTGAAATATCTTATATCATTTCTGCAGCTTAACTGATTTATTAGCTTTTTCGGACATTCCTAGTAGATAAAAAAGTTTTCGTCATGATCTTTTACGTTTTGGGTTTTTCACAATTTTTTATGAATGCCTGTGTTTCCACTTACTCGTTATGTTTTACCTGTTATTTTAGTATATGTACGACATCCGAACTATATTGTTTTTGGTGTGTAAATTTATATTTTCATATTTTTTTAAACCAAATTGCCACGTATAGCGTACATAACCGAAAAGTGGGTTGCGTATCGGAATAAATGTAGAGGGGGACTGCGCTATCATGTGATTACTGATTAAATAAAATTCTCCATCTAACACACTTGAATGCTTAAAGTGGACTAGTGGAGACCTTAACTTACCATAGGTTCTTCAGAATCAGATTCACCTTCAATGTCATCTGATTTCAATGACGCACATTTTTGTCGCATCTATGCTGTTGAATGTCCGCTATTCATATTCCAGTTTCTTTTTTCAGTGACCGACTCACACCTGAACTCCTGGGACTTCTGAAAAGCAAGGTTTGGAAAGAACGTTTAGAAGCACTGACTACTATTGAAAAATTTATATCTCCTTCCCATTTGATTGATGCTTCAAACGGAAAGCTTCAAGAACCTTTGACTATGATAGCTAAAGCAGCTAATGATGTGAATAAAAACTTGGCCAAACAAGCTTTGATAATCCTGTCTTCCTTTGCTTCATCAATACCGAAATCAGACGCTGTGAATTACATAAAGTAAATATATATTCTGAAGTTGTTTTCTATTTTTATAATTATATTCATCTTTCCTCTTTTTTCTCACTTTAAAACACGCTGTATTTGACTTCAAAAGCTGCTACTGCTACACTGTAATTCTGAGTTACTTGTTATAGTAACTAGTTGTGACTCATACCATACCCTAATCACTATTATCAAGTTTTTTGGGTACCGGGTTCTGTCACACACAACCAACACTAGACTAATCATCTGTATAAGAAATGAATCCTAAGGCTGTGCGATAAATTTTATTGCTCAATCTGACTGATTTTGTTTACAGCTTGTCCGTATTCTAGATTGCCAGGCTGATTCGTGCACTTCTTTCTTCGTTTCATATCTACAGTGTATTTTTACGAACGCTAACAGAAAAAATAAGTCTGTTATAACCTTTACTAGTTTTTACGATAACGTTATCGTCGTGTTGGATTCTCACTGTCTTGTTCCGGTGACATCTGAGTTTATCCAATAATGGAAATTTGTGTTTTCATAATTTATTCGCTATTGTCGCAGGTCAAATCCAATCTACATTTGTTAATTGAACAAAAACTTCATACCATAGTTTATTGAAAGTTGCCTATAATTTTAAATTATTTTCACTGTTATCTTTATGTTATTTTCTACTGTATTTTATTAACAAATATAGTCATATATATTTTATACGATAATTAAAAATAATTGGTAATTTTTTGATTTATAATATTTGTTTCCATCTTTTTCTGTTTTCTGGCAAATCATTTTTATTTGGATATTTTACATGTAAAAGATATAGTTTCCTCATTTATTCAATCAGTTGGGCAGTAGTAGGTCGCCAATCACTTACCACTGACATCTTCATTCGTGCCGGAATTTCATCGATCGGTTGTTTCGTCATAATAGTATCATGTATACACGTGAACTTTTTGTTAAGCAGAATAAATACAATGATATAGATCACAGTTCACTTTTTCTATATATTTGTTTAATAATTTTATTACTCCCTATAATCATTATAACTTTATTGAAAAGAAGATATGATTTATGGCAACACACTACTTTGTATGGTATAAAGAGATATATTCATCTATTTGTTTTATATTTGCAGTTTTAAATCCGCGTCTCGTTGTTCTATATTCAGTTTGCTCTTAAAATTACTAAAGCATATAGTTGTAATCTGATTGATTCTATTGTCTTTATATAGAAGTGAATAAAAAATGTATGCTAGTAAATAGCTGTTTAAGAACACTTGACCTCTAATTCAGTATTATATGTTTACAAGTATTCAAACTTTTGTCGATTGATGTTGTACGTATCTGTCTTTAATCGTATCTAATATTGACAAATTTTTTAAATAAATGAAATGTACTTATTAAGATGAAGATAAAAACGATATGTTCAACCAAGAGTTCTCTTTTTGGCGGATTTTTTCTCAAAACAATACAATCATAATTATACTCTTTCTTTGCAGTAATATGTTTGTTAAAAAACAACGTACTATGTATAGTAACGAAATCGCAGAAAAAACTTTGTTCTTGGTAAGGAAGTGAAAGTGTGGTTATTAAGATCTTAAGAACAGATAAAGATTAATAATAATAAAATGAGGTTGCGTAACGTGATAAAATAAAATATTGAAGTTAAAAAAATTTTAACACATTGTTATTACGAACTATGCTAATGTGTACTGTACGAAGCTTATTGAATTCTAACTGATGGCAAATAAAAAAAATTATTAGGTTATTTCATACTGGTGAAGTAAAATGGTTTATCTTATTCCAAGAATAATACATAAGATCAGTTGAAACATATTTATACGTTTACAATTTAGCTGTACTCACTCTGGTTCTGCGAAACCGGAGGCACAAATTTTATAATCTAGCAATCCGTTCAGAAATATTAATAGTACTGTTTTAACTAAGACAAGATCGAATTGATACCAAACTTTCCGAATTTCAATAACAATCGTATGTAATAAGCACGCGAATCTTCATTTAAAATAACTCAGTTTTCCTATAAATATTTTATTAACTTATTACTCAACCGATCTATTTTCTAGGTATGTTGAACCCCCTATTCTACTCTGTCTTGGTGATTCAAAAGTTCAAATACGTGAGGCAGCTGTAACTGCACTTAGCTCTTGGCAAAGTCGAGTTCCCATTTTATCAGTATTTGAAAATGACATGTTAGCTGATGCCTTAAAGGTAAGTATCTTTTAATGTACCTTTTTTTATGATAACCTGTGCCGATTTCGACCGAAACATTAATTACTGTTTACGGTTAATCGTCACTAATACATGTATACTTGGACAATGACATAAAAATATAAATGCTGACTGATATGTGTGAAATGAAAGATTACTTATTAGCTTATAGACGAAGATAATTAATAAGATTTTAATGGCTCGTTAAATTGTTCGTTATTGGTTTTTAGGATAATCATTCATAACTTTTTGCTCTGTGTAAAGCTGTTTTATAATCTAAACTCTTTATTCCTCTTTCTATTTATTTACTATTTAGATGGAAAATCCATTTTTACGAGCCGAATTACTACGCTGGCTTCAAGATGTTCTCTCACCTATGCCATTAAACGCCCTGCGGAAAAACGCTTCAGAAATAACAGAGAATCTAATACCTCAGGTATTTGCTTCTCTTGAAGATCGTAATGTTGAAGCTCGTAAACAAGCCCAACTAGTTCTTCCGTCATTAATACAAGTTTTTGGCTGGGAACCTATCTTAAAGTCTACCAATCGTTTGAAGCCTACCTCAAAGGATTCTATTATGCCTCATTTGGAGAAAGCTCGTGAAAGCGTAGCTAATTCACATCCCTCATCCATGGAGAAAAAAGCCTCTTCTCCATCTAAAGCGGTACGTGTAGGTAATGGAACACGTTCACAACCTTCCTCAAATGCCCCAGCTACTACTCCAGGTATTTCTTTCATGTATTTTACAGAAAAATTTAAATAAGACATCCGTTTTTCACTGGATTATATGCTTCATAGAAAAGATTACCTCATCTATTTCATTTCAATCATTGAATTTTAGAAAATAGCGAGGAATTTGAAAATGCTACACAATCTTCAGGCAATACCTCAAAGTCTATTTCCGATACGAAGAAAAAGGCTGATAATAAAAAGTCTATCAACACGTCTAAAAAGTCAGGTCCGGAACTGGCAACGACATCCATAATTCTTCCGCCAAATAAGTCAGCTAAGAATTCTAGGTTAAATGATGAGAAAAAACGCAAGGTAATGGTTCTGTTTTTTTAATAACCCTGTTCTATTTGTTGTTTATTGTGTCTATTTCTAAATATACACATTAAACTATTAACGTATTGAACTTTTTATGCATGAAACTTGTAATTTCGAATTGTATTCTGAGAAATATACATGGATAATATTTCCAGCATAAATTTGTGATACTCATTGAAAGCAATGACTGAAAATACCTTTTGTACAACCTATGTAGTTAATGACAAATTTGACTGGATGATTCAGATTACTGAATGACAGCAAGGCTTTATAGTTACGCAAATTAGACTACTTAAAGTCAAAACGTATGGAAGTATTCGATTATGTTAAGTGTTCCGTTTACATATCCAGTGTTATTCCTATGAACTAATTGAATAGTCTTAATTAAATAACGTTTTGGTATCCTCTAATAAGTGTAAGGTAGGTTGCCCAACATCATGGATTGGTTAAAATTATATATTAACTCCGTTGGGTGCCGGCTCAGTGGTCTATACATTAAGCATCTGCACAAGATCAAAAGTCCTTTGTTCGAGTTCTGAATGCGGGATTGTGGATGCGCAGTACTAAGGAGTCCCATAGTAGGACGAAACGATCGTGCTGTACTTCTGGGTTTTCGATGTTAGTCTAATATTGGTCGGTTCATGATTTCAATGAAATGTATACAACTTTCTGTAGGTCTTTACTTTCTGTTTTGTTTTTCTAAAATACATTTTTTCTAATTTACAGCTTTTAAAATGGGATTTCGATGCTCCAACAAAAGACCACATACAACAATTAAGTACATTATTCACTGCAGCTGGAACCGCTCCTGAATTTCATGCACTTTTATTTCATACCGACTTTAAACAACACATTAAGGCGATTGAACAGCTTTCTCAATTACTAGATACCACTGAAGGCTGTGAGGCTACTGTAATAAATGTAGATATTATCTTGAGATGGATTGTTCTACGATTCTTTGAAACTAATCCAGTTGTTTTAGGCAGATGTAAGTTAATTTGATACTACGAATAACAGTTAAACTAATCTTCACCGGTACCCAAACTACAAAATAAGTTTTAATGAAATTTAATGATTTCATACTCTAAGTTATTCTTTTTTGTATATAACTGATAACTTTCCTATAAAATTGAAGGTGTGCACAGTTGTTTGATCATTCTGTCAACTATTGACTCATATTTAAATCATCCAAATTATCAAACTATATTACCCAGTTAAAAGATGTATTGATATACGTGACTAAATTAGTTAACCATAGGTTGATCAAACATAATTGTAACCAGATAAAAATATGAATTCAGTCTACGAAGTCATTGATTGAATATATGAGTTATGTGTGGAAGGTATAGACTTCACTCGTAAGGTCCTTAGAATAATGATTACGCATTCAGTCAATATACTACAAAATCGTTCACATTAGCGTAGTTAGATCTATTAACGAGATTATAATTTATGTACAAACTTTGAGCGACGCTAAAGTGACCTTGCTATTGTCCACCTACTAACTGGGACTAAACGACGGTTATAAAGCAATGCGAGGAATTGGAATTATGATTTACAGTTGATGGTTAGAGTTAGGAACTAGATTTAAGGTTTTCGTCACTGACTGACATCAGCTAAAATGCCGAATCGCTATTTAGCCAAATGGATGAATAAATTTCGCGCCTAAATTCAAGAACTGTTATCTTATATCTGATTGATTCTTCCATAAATTATAGTTTCGCCGATTTACCCATTACCTTCAAAATCTTACTCATCATTTACTTTCATTTGTAAACTTTATATTCATTTTATTTTGGCATTTTTAGATTTTTGTCAGTTTTTCGTTCTATGCTATTGCACTCTTATGCAATATTCTACAACCGTATCTCTGCTTGTATTTGTTTGAAGATACACGTTGTAAAGACTAGTCTAAAATAAGATGTTAATCAGGTCATAAATATTTGAGCTATCGTAATAAATATCACTGTGATATTTGTATTTGTTGTTCCAAAAACTTTGTATTGTGTTTTACTCTCATTTCCTCTTTCGAACAATACAGGTATGGATTATATAACAAAATTATTCGTTTTTATGTCAGAGTCTGGAGCGAATCTTTCTGAACATGAAGGTGGTTCATTTCTTCCTTATTTGGTAATGAAAGTGGGTGAACCTAAAGATATAATTCGACAGAATATTCGCGGAATATTGAAACTTGTGGTTAATCTCTATCCACCCAGTCGTCTATTCACATTTCTCACTAATGGGACTAAGGCCAAAACAAGTAAAACAAGACAAGGTTAGCTTCATTGTTAATGTGCTCTACATACGTAAGCAAATATCATGTTTAGTAATCATCTCTCACAGTTGCTTTACTGTCCTGTTGATTCTTAATTATTTTTTGTTTTAGAGTGCTTGGATGAGATGGGTTCTCTGATTGATCGTTTTGGATTAAATGTTTGCCAGCCCTCTATTCCCGTTGCAATCAAGTTGATCGCTCAACAAATTGGTGATCGTGATAGCGGAGTTCGATCAGCAGCTTTGAATGCTTTACTTTCTGCATATGCTGTTATTGGTGAACAGATATGGAAGGTTATCGGTGATGTAAGAGATTTCAGTTGTTCTATATTACTACGTAGTTAAGTTGATCTTTATTCCACTTGGGAATATTGTCAACTAGTAAACCTATTTCTACGACGATTAAGCTAGCAATATAAATTTTTCATAAAGAAAGTATCAATCAAAAATACCAGCGAGTAAACTATTTTGGCTCATAATCTTTACTCATTCCTCGCTTCACTTGGTATTATACTCTTGCATTAATAATTTCAGTTCCTATTTCTATTATATCATTAAGACAATTAAGTTTCACTTTCATCTATGATTACTTGCGCCTGTTGCCCCTCATGGATAAGCAAAGGCCGCCCACCAGCATTCTGAATCGAACTCTGTCCTGAACAATCTTTTCCGGTTTGATGATTTCCTCAATGTCTGTCCACCCCCAGCTTCTTTTCCTAATTTCCTCTTCGGTTGAAAGCTGGTTTGTTCTCTACCACAGCAAGTCGTTGCTGAGGATTTGGGGAACAGTAAAGCAGCTTAGCTGGTCCTGTTGTGTTGCTGAACTTCATTCCGTTCCCTGTTCCTGTGTCATATCTTAATCCATCTAAAATAGCATACTTGTGTTTCAAATATTTGTGTAACATTGTAGTTATGTATTATCATGTTCTTCGTTTGTCTCAGATACCAGAAAAAGAACGTTCAATGCTGGAAGAACGTATCAAACGGGCTGGGCAAATACCGATCAATACTGTAGATAATTTTGAACCAAAGACACCGTCTGTAAGACCAAGCACTGCAAGACGGTATGTGTTTTAAAGTTAACATTTGTTATGTAATCCTTAAATTTCAATCCTATTTACCTTTTTTTCAATCGAAGGGTTATCTCTGAAATATTCCTGAATGTAGAGTACGACTTTGTTTTCTACCGACATCCTATCATAGTATCTTATTATTTTCAAGAATACTAGAAACTTATCTGTGTATTTCCCTGCATAGTTCTATCATGAATTCATATAAATTAATCTGTCTGAGGTAGTAGTAGTTGTTGTTGTTGTAGTATTATTATAAGTAGTAATTCGGATTTGTTTTTGTTTCTTATTTTCCAATCACGCATACGCTATTTGTTTGTCCATTTCATTTTTATATCAGCGATCCATCAGATTCACGTAATCCTCTAGAGCCTGTTCCCAACGAATTTCGCCGTCAGCAACCGGTTTCTGCAGCTCATGCTAGAGCGCGTGCTATGTTGAATGAACTAGGTGATTTATCACCTGAAAAAGCTCCATGTATGCCTCCACTTATTCAGTTGGATGCTGATATAAGAGATCTTTTCCAACCAGTTGAAATTCCAGCATTGAAGTGAGTATTCACAATGTTTTCTATTACTTTTGTTATTTTAATTCAAGTGAACAATTATCTTAATTTTATTCTTTTATATATATTTTACTATCATGGGTTTATATCACTTTTAGAGCACACGTGCGCCAGCCTGTTCTTAATGCACTATTACGAACAAGTCCTGATACTGCTTCGGCTATCACAATGGTCGTAACGGCTATATCTTCCAATGATTTACTAATCAGTTGTCATGCTTTGGCCGAAATCGACACTGTTCTTAGAGGTATGGTTTTAATAACTTTCACATCTTTTCCTCAGTTATATTATCAATATAAAATTATTTTAGAATTTCATCGATTCTCCTCGCGGCTATGCTGTTGCTTACGAAATCGTGAGGACGAAAATCGAATGTCACGCTCTTTAACCAGGTTGGTGGATATGAAGGATCCACCTAAGGGAGTTGGAAATCCCTGATTCCAAACCGATGGTGTACTTGGGTTCCAGGATCCTGAGACAACAGATGGAGTATGAACTAATTATTGGTCACCGGTTACCAAGGGACTGAATCTCCTAATGTTGCTCTACTGTCTTGTGGATTGGACCTCTAAGTGAAAGGCTCAAAAGTGGTCTTCTTAGAAAACTGTCTGCTTTGGTTTGGGCTGTCGGGCAGTATTCCAGCCCTCACTCAAATCGAGTGATTTACGTGGCGTGTGTTTAAATAATATTAATAATAAAACCTTCATATTGTTTTTAGTGACTTGAAGTTTGTCATGTTTAGATATATTGCAGTACTGAATATTTCTAGCATAAGCGTACTCCACTAATTCATATGTTAGTCATATTGAGTAATTATTTATTTTTTAATTACACTATAACATCTCTTCACTTTTAATAATCTAGATGAAAAGTGGTACCTTTTACTCAATCATGTCAACCAAGTCCTAATGCTTATTACAATGCAGTTACGCCAAGTTAATTCGCGATATTTTGGAGATCCTTCAGTTTCAGAGGAGCAATTGCATACATTAATTCGGTCTCATTTGGCCACTATCGAATCTGTAAGTTCAATAATCTTTACTTTTTTACGAAAGATATCTCACAAATTAAAGTTTCCTATGTTGTCAAAAAAACCATTAAGCTAGAAGTTAAGACTTTAATAAAGCTACTTAACGTTGGTCTGAGATCTGTGTATTAACTTATGGGCTTCTTAAATAAACTGATTAATTTCAAAGCCATTTGTTTCAGATTCTTGACAATCTAGATAAAATCAAATTTGTCTACTTTGAATTTCGTTCAAATCTAAATTCTTGTTTATTTTATATTTCTGTCATTGTGGATTCCCGCCTTATGAATGTTTTATGTTATACAAACATACATAGTTACCTTTTCCCTTAATAATCGGCGTTTTTTTTAATTAACTTGAAAATTTAACTTACTGTCTTTTTACACAGCTTTTTAGTCGTCCAACATTAGGTCGCGAAGCTTCACGGGAAACTTTAAGAGAATTATCCCAGTCTCTCCTTCAAATGATGTTGGATGAAAGGACTGCTGAAATGTCCAGTGGAGAAAATGTTATCAGATCGATCAATGCACTATTTGTTCTTATTTTGGAGGCTTCCAATGGAACACGTATACTCAGGTATATTATTTACTTTCAGTTTTCTATAATATATATTTATTTATAACTGAACTTCATCTACGAGAAATATGAGTATTTTCTCGGTTATACTTTACTGTTTTTTATCCGCTTTACTTATTTGTATATCCATTGGCGCGGTGAGAACACTGGACTGTAGTAGTAATACTGTAATCATACAGTCCAAATAATTATAAACACGATCAACTTACCTTTCATGTATATTTTCGTTTTATTACTGGTCTCTTAGTCGGTTTTCATGAGAAGCTATTTGTTTAATTCTATCTCTCCTCTATGAGATAATATTTTCAAAGTGTTTTTCCAACTGTTATTGGTGCGTTCAGCATGCGTTATTGAATGATAGATATTCACCTCTACTGTTTATGATATTTGTTTGCCAAGAATACTATTGTTTGCAGTGCTGTTGCCGTCCCAACTTTTGAAATGGTGTTTAATTAATTAATGAAATTGAATCTAAAGTGGTTTAGGCCTGCAGTGTCCGTTCAAGTAAAAGTATAATGTTATTTGTAATTCTGTTTATTGGGAAATTAAACTAATGAGATGTACAGATTAGATCCGATTCACTTGTTTGCAAAATTTATTGAAGAGTGATGTTTACTTTATATGAGTGTTTAAGTTAAACTTTATCGCTAAAGACAGATTTTTATAAAAACTTTACGATATCATACTACTTATTTCTTTGGATTATTGTAGTCTTAGTACAATGATTGATGACACTTCACTAACAACTATTGAACTACTTTTTTATGCTACAGTGCGCTCATTCGGTTACTACATGAATGTATCAGTAACGGACACTTTACAAATCGATTCACACAAGCTATCCTCAAAAGTATATGGCGTATTACTAAGGGGATGAATACTGCATGTAAGTTTATTGAACATTGGTGCGTATAGTTGAAGTATTTCTCAATAGTGGTTGCTTGTCCTGATTTGATTTCAGACATGTGTTTTCTCGATGATATCAATCAAGTAAATGAAGGTTCTACACATCCACCACCTTATCTCGCAAGATTTCTGTCTAATGTAAGCTAGCTGGTATAGTTTACATTTTACTCATTGATGTTGAACTAAGATTGATGGTTTTTTGAAAGGACTTCAGTGAAATCAATCGCTTTCATGAACAACAACTCTCATCTCAAGTTTTACTACTAAACACTCACTTTTAACTTACTTTTTATGTATGCTAAGATTTAAGCCATTTGCGGCAAACTTTGTTTTCATATTATGTAATAGTAATTGATTGGGATAGATAACAATTACTAGTCTATGTTATTAGGTCCTAATTCCATTACATCAAGTGGAGAATATATAATCGATCAAAACGCATAACTTACATCCACTTATAACTTGACTGATTTTTAACAATATTTATTGTCAGAAATCTAAAACAATTAGTCCCAATCATAAATTTCGATAGAGCAATGAGCAGACGGCGGCCTATGCTCCATTAGGAGTAACAGGCGTAAGTAAGTAATGAGCAGACGGAGTTTATCTGAATAATATTATGTATTTGCGCTATACATTTCGAACAATCTAGTCATTTTTCTAGAAAGAAAATTCCTTTCCTGACATTTATGTTGTATTTTACTATCATTTTGATCTGGATTGGGGATCACTTAATAATTTCATTGGATTATACACCTTGAATAACATCTTCGAACCGTAATCTTTCCTATTTCTGCCTATACTTTTAGTACCCCTACCACTGTGGGACTTGAATCGACAATTATATCTCTACGTTGTTGCTGACTGACTCAATAATTCTGTCTTGTGAACAATTAGCTGTTATGAATCATATATCGCATCAACTAAAATGCGTACGTAGGAAATTCAGGACCATAATCTACAACATTGGTAGTGTTGACTCCTTACTTTTCATCACATTCGTGTGTGGTTTGTCAGACCTAACGTTGAACAACCATTGTCTTTACTTGCTGTTCTGTGTGATCATTTGAATCAGCTTTCTACTATTTTGGTCCGGGGATTCCAATTAGTACTGAGTCACACTACTTATATCTGAGATTAAAGTATATAACATTATTTACATAGTTTGGGTTAATAAATTTAAGAAGTCGATAGTCTTAACGCACTCTCTTTGCTATCCAATTAAATTTTAAGAAATATTACATGCATTTATACGCTCCGATATGTTACAAAATATGTACCTATAAAAATTTGTTACTCCCATTGTAAGGTTTTTTTTTACCTATACTTTATACAACTAATTTTGGTTCTTTTTTCACTTGTTTGTGTGGATAATTTAATGTTCATAATCTGTTGTATTCAGCTTCAGTATTTCTCTATTTCTGAAAGCAAGAATTAAACTACATACTGTTTTTTTTTGTCGGCATCAGTTAATAATTACTCTGTGGATGTCATACTTCTGGACTGTCATCATTTTTTAAAGGCTTTCCCACCTTCCTCATGGAGTGCACGGAAATCAGATGTTCCTTTACGAACAATCAAAACCCTATTGCATGTATTATGTGGCCTCCAAGGTCCATCAATCTTACAGTTTCTAGAAAGTATACCTAACAAGGTAGGTATTTTTGGGCATTCGTATATTTTGTTATAGAGCTTAAAATTAATCTAACCCTAAGATACTTAAAAGCTACATTTTTAAATTCAAAATTTTTCAAGAACGCGGTATATTGTAACGTTGCGTCTTTTGTGTGTCAACCCAGAAACAAACTTGGCACCCTCTGTTTGTGTTACTGTTTTTCCCCTAATTTCATGAACATTTATTACTGAAGAATCGTAGAAGAAAAAACCCCTTGAATATTTTTTAATCTTGGTCGGATTTTTAACTATCCTCGACCTGTACTCGTAAAAACTACTTCGTTTTATTACTCTCTTCATGTATTGTTCAAATTAATTCAAATAGATCACTAATTAAAACTTTTTAAGCAATATGCCAAGCAATTTTTTATCACCTGAGGTCCAATATTAATGTATATTGTTGAGGCTTAATTTCCTCTATATCTGACTCCAATAAATGATATCTCGTTAACTAAGTATTTAAGGTAGGCTAAATCTAGTAGAATTATGGATTTATTCGAGATTATTCAGAAGCCTGAACACCAGTTGTAGAGATATTTTATTGTCAAAGATAAATAAAATCCGCAAGACTACAGCGAGCAAGCATATTGTGAAACCACGAGAGCGTGTGTGTGTGTGTGTGTTAAAATTTCATATATACTTTTGAGTGTCAATCGAGTGTGGATAAATTATTGATTATCTGTATGTTACAACCAATCGGAGAATAGATTAAGGTTGATGTGCAGACACGCGCTCAATGTTACAAACACACACACACACAGAAATTAACATAGTAGTGAATTAAGTGTCTGAATTACAGTGAGTAGACAAATGATACAATAGTTGAATGGGCTTGCTACAATATGTACTGAAATGTTGGTATTTGCTAGTGGATTGTGTATATGCCCATCCTAAGTTCACGTCGACAGAAGTAAACTTGAATTTGTTATGGTTTTATATTTTTTTAAACATCAGATTCTCATTCCATAAATCAAGTGGCTTTTCAATATAAGCCTTGAAATTCCTGGATCTATCGACTTTTTTAGCTAAATACCTCTGATCCAATATAATCCCTACACTTGGGGAACTCAATGAAGTATTAAATTGGTTGGCTATACAAGGAGCAAGTTATGCTATATACTTATGTTACTTAGTTTATTTTGGTTCTCTGAAAGTACCAAATAGTTTCAAAGTATCTTTAGAATGTACCCATACTTTTTTTCTTACTAATAGGAAGATTCAGAACTAGAGTCCTACCTCATTCGCACACTAAAAACTACTTCAGGAGTTACAACTACCTCTGATTCCAAAAAAATACTGGCCTCTGAAAGTCATTCAAAAGTAAGTGGAATTTATTGTCTTCATATACTCACAGACTAAATATTTTGTTATTTGAAAATATTATGACTAAAGACTGTTAAGGGCAAATGGATTTGCTATTTTTCCATATGTTGTTGTCAGAATAGAAAACATGAAGGTTTACAGTCAGCATAAATAAAGATATTCCACTCAAAAAATGTTTATCCACGATCCTCTCTGCTTATGAGATTTTTTTATCTCCATTTACAATAAATGTCGAGGAGAGGTGTCTCAGTTTTCATTCGCAAATGGATCTTTACTGCGAAACTTGTTATTTTTAGCACGTTAAATATCTCTCATTTGAAGAATAACAGCGAAAAACCTTATACTGTTTAGTACAAGTATTTTTAGATGGTTTCGTTACTTTGTCACCATTTACATGTTTTTTAAAGTGTTTTAATGTTTGGAGAATCGGTATGTTTTAGTGAAGATAAAATATGATCAGTCAGTAAGTGGAATTTATTGTCTTCATATACTCACAGTCACTGAGTGTGACTATATTGAATAAAGTATTATCTAGTGTTATTCTGGTTCATGAATCCTGGATTCTAATATAACACGACTGATCTCATTATCGTATTTACCTATTGTAGTAGTATACCTGGGAGAAAAAAATATTTTAAGCCATCCGTTATATCAAGAATAAATTTTGCGAGCAGCTATTCGCTAGTGTTTCATATTACTAATGGTCGTATTGTGAGTGAGTGAGTGGAAGTCTGCGTAGATTGTTGAAGAACCATTTTTTTAGTGAACGTAATTGCCAAAATGTAGTGCTCGTATTGTGAATTTTTTAACTGATTGATCTCTTGTAATTTAGAAAACACTTATATTTTCATAGGGATTTGTACTTTCTACTGCAACTCGTGAGAAATTAACCGAAATATTCAAGAAGGTCGGATCTAAGAAACCTGATGAAGTAAGTACTCATTATTTATTTAACCGACTATCTTATGTAAGTATTTGGACAGTTGCTGGCTATATCAGTTGAGTTAAATGTTGAATTTAATGTTGTTGAATATGCAACCAAAATAATGAAACAGATATTTACCCACTAAACCGAACTTCCTAATGCCCAGGAAATTTGAATATCGGAATACAGAACAGCCGATTAACTCACATCTTACTGTTCGTTTGAGTTCTGTGATAACCTATTTTCATCTGTATGTAAGAAACTAGCTGTTGAGTCTCCTGAAATTCTATTACTACAGCACATTTGCATCATGTTTTTTCTTAATTAAAACAATATCAACGATAATCCTGTTCCAGTTGAGTAAATATTTTATTCACGTTAGTTTTGAATCTAAAAAATATGTTGGTATATTGTTTCATTGGTTCTCTGTCTTGAATAGTTACATTTAATACAGGTCAATAGATGTTCATATTTAAATCATTATTATAATTAGTTCATTCACATGTGCTATCTTCATGTTCTATTTTCTCACCAGGGTTTAAATGAACTATACGATTTCACTCAGCTCTATCCAGATGTAGATTTATCGTCATACTTAACAAACACAAGCCAATTTTTCCAAGCCTACATAAAACAAGCTTTACGAAATATAGCTGTTGAACGCGCCCGTCAGGCTAGACTAAGTGTAATTGATAAAGAACCAAACACATTAACAGCTCATCAAGTAAGTACTTTAGTTACTTTTTTTTAGTTATTCTCTTAAAAACTAAAAGATGTACTACGATCTTGTTGAGGGATTTGTTTACAAAACTTCACTCTTGTTGATAGTCTTCAATCGGGGACGTTTGCCCAGCGGTAAAGTCAACTCACGAGTTACCTTTTGGAACCTTGCCCCGCCTACATCGGTTTGAATAGACGGGGATATCCTTAGTCAACATGGTTACATACGAACATAAGGTGAACGAAAAGAAGCAAACAATCACAACGGCGCACAAGAAAATGTGACTAAAAATTGAACGTACATACACAAATCTGTTTTTGATTACCAAATTAGAAACCTTTGTCTCCAAAACTTCTTGTCCGATAGAAGTTATCTTACTATCAGTTGTTGCTGAATGAAATCGATATTTGCTTTACTCACTTTAAACAATAAGCTGTTATGCTTGAACAGATAAGTCTGGACAGTACGGCCATACAGTGAATTCTATAATTATGTTCTTTACCTATATACTGATATCATTGTGTGGATTCCGAATTTCGTGTCTAGTATACTGTCCTTATTTTTTGACAGACTAATGGCATTTTAGCGCGTCCTAATTGGAATCCAGATTTTGATGCAGATATCTTTAATGGCCAACTAACTGATCCCAAAGTATTTATGAATCGATTGGCGATGCTACGAAGAGAACTGGGTCTTGGTGGTGTATCCACAACGAACATTGATGATAATATTGGGCCATCTGATGAAGCTGGTTCACAAAATACAGCCTTTGAAACAACTCTTCGAGTAAGTCTATTTCAAAAGTTAGTAGTTTTGCGAGACCTGAATAAATTCGCGTGCTTTTCACAAGTAAAAATGTATTGGTTATGCTTCTTGCACTTCCAAACAATCAACAAAAACCAGTAAGAAAATACTCCCAACTGACCACAAAATAACAGGTTTGGACTAGGCACAATTGTCATAAAAATCACTTGATTCTATCGACATTTTTTGCTATACTATTTGTTTAACTTTCAATATTGACTTAACTTTCTTAAATGGACGTTCATTTCTAAATTATCATTAAATTTGAACATAACTGTCACTGACTTCAAGTGTACAACAAATTTAATAGAATTTGTATGAAGTCCACACAAATTTTGCTCCAGTGAACTAGTTGTGGTTTTTAAAATTTGTTATTAAATAGTGTTGATTAGACTTTGAACCCATGTTTACTAGCAGTCGTCCAAATTTAATTTGAAAAAAAAAATATTTGTACTGGCCTCTATTTGCAATTACAAGGATTAGGACATACCTACCAAAATTGAGCTGGGTAAAGCTAAACTGAACCAGTCGCAATTATTTCTGAAACTTTGATGTAGAATTGTTCTTCTCGTTCATATTCATTTGCATTCGACTGCTTACGTAGAAACATGTGAAGTAGTGCAACAACTAACATATAATTATCGAGTGTCTGATTGTTATAGCTTACTGTAGCAGTTTTCAGGTTTATTATCTGATTATACATGTAGTGTGATAGATCTTCTCTACGGTCTCCAACAGTGATTTGAAATCGAAGTTTTCAGCAATAACACAAGATTTATTGGTGATTTCTGATGGAGGATTACTTTCGCTGTCCACATATAGAGATTAACTTTAAATCATGCATAACAAATAAAATTTTATTCTTCAGAATATGGTTCAACCAAAAGGTGATTCTCCTGATGAAAATATTCAACCTGAAACAGAACAAAGGCCTACTATGTCCACCACTGAACTAATGGATTTGAAACGAAGACTAGATCGAATCAAAAGTGCCCAAAAGCATTAACAGTTACTTCGCGTGATAAAGTAGTCTTCCAATGCATCTAAACTTCCAGTTATTTACGTTCACTAACTTCTGCTTTCCATATGTAAATATTTCTTAGAGGTTTGTTATGAGATTTTTATGTCTAAACTTTTACGTACTACACAAAAAAAGTACGTAACTAAATATACATGCGATCTTTAACTAAATTGTCTTTATACCAGTAAACATTTTTTTACAGAAAAAGTTAATTGTACAAATTTACTGTCTATTAATTAAATATATGTTTAAAATTCATGAAATTAATTAAAGGTTTGAAGACTCTAATTGCGTACTTGTTTTGCATTGTTCATGGTACATATGCATAAATTCATCTAACCGATCAACTATTACTCCAGTCAAGTTAAGTTGTGATGCTTTTCTATAAAAACGGATTTCAGACACACCATCACCATACACAAAACAAGATAGCTGTTTACTCTCTAAATCCGCTTCAAGATATTTGATCTGCCTTTCATCCACATCATTTGTCGAACCGAAATGATATCCCACTGTAACAATCCCATTTAAGTTCATTATATGTGCCCAACTTATTGCAGAGAATATGTTGTGGTGTCGAGGATCTGACTTGTGACTACTATCATTTGGATAACCACCACGGGAAATAAAGAAGACTGGAAAAAAAGATTGCTTTAACCTTAAAGCTAGGCATACGTCAGGGTTAAATGAAGATAATATAACGTATCTGGGTCCAGCATGTAACCATATTGTCTGTTAAGGGAAAAAACAATTGTTATTATTTGGTAAATAGTACGGGCTGTAGGGAAACTGAAAAAACAAAGGTTAATTTCATTTTTACTGTGCGTATCAACAAATCAAAACAAAATTTTCTCTTGAAATCACAAAGACTAGCAATTAAATCATTTGATATGAATTAAGCTTAACCAGCATTTATTTCCTGACACGCCATTCAGTATGCTAAGTGGTCTATCAACCAATTGTATCTAGTGTAACTTCTAATTAGAGGCTGTTTGAAGTGGGGACCAACCTTTCGACCTCTCATGAAGTACTTACTAAGCTTATGACTGCTGAGTTGGCATCCAAAGGATGATGTCTATAAGTTCCGTTAATTCGCGATACTCGGCAAGTATCAGTCTGGACCATTGTTTCTGTAATTAAATTAACTCATTTAACAGGTACTTGGGTGAGCCACACTCCAAGCGAGAGGGGGTAATGATGGTACCCGGTCGCCCAAACTAATTTAGGTGGGATGGAGTTCAAACCCTTGTCATTAGTAGTATTTCTTTTACGTTGAGCTAGATTGGATCTGTTGTCACGGCTCCTCACTTGAACTACATTCAGAACTACCTCTCGTAATCACTAGTAAACATAATAACCTTTATTTAAGGTTTTTTTTATGAAGACTGTTGCATTTGATGAAGTGTCATAATGATTTGACAAATACGTGAATAAAACTTTTATTACATCTCGCTACTTAATTTCACAATAAGTTACGAGACATTAATTTAGTAAAGTAGATTCTGATGAAATAAAAAAAAATCGAGTTTATCAGTCCTTGGTATTGATTTATTATGGGATGTAAAGAATTATCAAAAGTCAGTTCTATTATGTTCACCAGTGACGAAGTGTTCTCGAAAGAAACCGTCAGTCATAATGGGGATTTTCAGCTCAGGGTGGTTTCCTCTGAGCTTTAATATTTATCTGTTATATCTTTTCAGACCAAATAAAGATATTTTAACGTACTGAATAAAGTGATAAGCTTAATCACTGAAATATTCTGTAAAGTCTGCTGTAGCGAGACAACAGACTAAATAAATAAAATCTCAGAGAAAAATTCGAGATATACTAAATTACTTACATCTAATATTGTATCACAGAATTTGTTGATTTTATAGAAATATGAGGATGGTGTTGGTAAAGAAGATTCGACAGGTTTATGTTTAATTAATGCTTCAGCAATTAAATTATATGGCGTTTCTATGGGATACTTTAGCTCTACGTTAAAACTTAGGTTTGTGGAAGTTTGGTAGAATGCGTCTTTTAATAACGGTATTGGTTCAGCCTCTTTACCATGAATATTTGGAATAGGATCACTCATTGTTAAGGGACTAGGATATTGACTTTGGATAATGTTTGTATTACCGATCGTTCCACTGACCTTTCTCAACAAGTTGCGAATTCCAGATAAATGGTAGTTCACAATCAGATCTGTGCTATTTTCATTTACTACACCATCATCTTTAAACATAAAAGGTAGGACAACTTAGATAAAAATTACAAACAAGCACTGGTGAAAAACGACTTTAAAAGGTACACGAAACAAAATCCCTTTCGCATTTAAAGGTCTCTACTATAATCATCATTGCTACAGTTTTTTATCATCTCTTTTGCTGCTTTCATTTTCGAAGTGAATCAGGGGAAAAAGATTGCTTTCGTTAATCCTGTACCAGAGGGACAAAAATTGCTATAGATTCATCTAATTAACTTATTTAAACCAGGTTAAATAACGCGCTGTTAATATCACGTAAATAATGCAAACATAGACCATAGAGAAGTTTCCCTAAAGATAACACTAAGCAATAGAAGTGTGGACCGTGTTACTTTACGGTGGTCTTTGTACTTCTTGTTGAATATATGTATCATATAGTATCAAAAACAATCTAAATAGATAATAAAAAGTTTCTTCCTCAGGCTCGTCAGACGCAGTATCTATTTGATAAGTAAAGTACTTTCAGTTTACTAATCCACATTCTTCGATGATCTGATGCTGTTGCAATAAGTTATTGCTACTTCCTTGTCTAAGATAATTTGAACTCGACACTAATAATCCCCAAAAGAAATTGCAGTTTAACCATTAAACTAGAGAGAAACTAACTTACTTTTATGTTCTAAAATGAAGGCTGGTGGATCGTTTTCAGATCTTCTCGGTTGCTCACATACTCTTAGTGTGAAGTTGTGGTGTAAAACGACTTCAGAATCTTTTGTGATATTTGCATCACATTCTACCATTGTTACTCCAAGTTGCTCAGCACGTCGAAAGGCGCATATTGTGTTCTCAGGCCACTCAAGCCCCTTACCATGGTGTGCACGTTTTACACCAGCACCAGCATGACCGACTATGATTGGTTGGGAGGTTGCATTTTTATGCAGAGATGAATTGACTGGAGGGAGGCATAAATAGAGAGGTGTTCTGTGGTCTGTATGAAGTGGTTTGTAGCCAAATATAAACAGATAGTACACTAAATGTGAAAAAAAAGTTAAGAAATATTTTAACAAGGACGAATCCATGATAATTAGTAGATACATTGACAGAATATTTCTCAAAATTTCGTGAGTAGTTCATCTTAAAATGTCGCTTTTGATATCCCTTTCGTATTATTTGAAAACCTAGAACAATGCACTACACAAAAAAAACTAGATTTATAAAGCATTTAAATTACACTTGAACAATCACATCATGCAAAAGTGAAATCTACTATACGGTGGGAAAGGCCTCACGGAAACTGTTAATTAGTGTACAGTTAGTTTCCATCCTTGTATAAATGTAGCGGTTTTACCTAAAACATGCAAGTTTGATACCACTCAACAAAACGTGATGTTTTGATGCTAGAAAGTGTGTGATCGAATGGAACGTAATGCTGTTGCATGATAACTTGAAGTCTAAAGTCCTGCATCTGTTCCAAATATGCAGACGTCTCCTAATCACGTTAAAGTGGTTTATTTTGATGGTAATATCTTCCAGTTAGTGAAAGTAACATCAAAAGCAGTTTAACATAAATACTAAACGAAAAGTTCTCAGTAAACACATCTTTGTGATCGAACAATTGATTTAATAATCTAGTTTTGGCATATTCTACACCTAATTGTCAAGAAATTATTGTAGCAATTACTCACGGTAAATTTCATCCAAAATTCCGCCAACTGAAGAAACTGGAAGACAAAGTAGACCCTGGTCATCGTGGTAATCTGGACGTAAAGTGAATGAAACACAAGATTTTTCGGAACCAGAAACAGTTCCTAATTCTAAATCAACAGACTTTAGGGTAATTTATTAGGGTTTAAGATGTTACCAATGTAGAACTCATTGATGAATTACGGTCCGAAACAAGAAAACCACTGGCTGCGTGTGGAGTTACAGGAATCCATCTTTCCTTATAAGAAGAACCTTCAACAGACCATGATAAAGATGGATCTACACTACAAGACTAAAATTAAAATACATATTGTAAAAAATTTAGAAAATGTATATATGGCACCAGTATAGTCTTCACTTGGTTAATGAATATTATTAATTTAATTAACTAGTAATTCTGATAGCCAATTCTTCTCGTTTCACATCAGAATGAATCAATAGCACTAATCATAGAAGAAACACAACACCTAACGTAACTAAATTATTTGGAAGCTAATCACTAACATTAGCCACCTTAGTATCTTAAGGTATCCTGGTTTATTGTCGGTCCCAAGCCCAAAGAGAGGAGGGTTAAGCACGTGGTCAGTAACCCCATCCCTTAGAAAACAACCCTGATAACAAACGTTTGCCAGAAAGCATCTAAACTCTGCCCTGCGATTTGAAGAATATATATGTAGGAGAATTATCATGTCTCATTCTTCGTCAGTTACGAGGCCGATGCCCCTTCTAACAACCACAGCAACAATTAATATAGGTATATGGGATATACGCACAACGTGGGAAACCGGGAGGAAATGACGAGGTACAACTTGGCGACGATCGTAATCAGTGAAATCCGTTCGACCCAAGCTGGATAGAAAAGGATAGATTCGGGAGGGATGCTGTTGTAGTTCGGTCACGAAGAGGAAAATACTTCAATCACTCAGATAGTTATACTGGTGCTATCCAAAGAAGCACGAAAAGCAACTATAAGATGGGGATCTCATGGATGAGCAATCATCAGAGAATAATTCAAAACAATGAAGGGAATCACAATGAATATTGACATGGAATGGGAGAAAGAAACGAAAATGGTGACGGGTTTGCAAATTTATGTGCGTTCAATAAAATGGTTATATACGAACCAATATTCCCCATACATGCATACACAAAGCTACATGAGTCTTACAAGATCACGCTACAGAGAACCAGACTGATCATATTTGCAACACTAAAACATTCAGATCAATGGAAGAAGCGAGAAGAAATAGAGGAGCTGGAATAGCTTCAAATCACCAATTGCGTGTGGTCGTGATGAGGCTGAAGTTTAAAAAGCACTGGACGACTGGAGAAACAGTATTATAAAGATTCAATACAGCCTTCCTTCAAAATACTGACAAACTCAACTAATTCCAAATAGGTCGCAGCAACAGGTTCCAAACCTTACAAAATCTACTCAAATAACAACTAAACAGAGGCTGAAGCACAAACTTCAACGTGCCAGGCCGCAAGAATCACCATCACAAAGAATGGTTCTATATAGATACCCTAAGCAAGATTCAAAAAAGTTGCAAGAGATATGATACAATGAAGAAATAGGCATGGAAATATTATAAACCCGAGCGACCAGACAAGGATGAAGATGAAGAGCGAATCCTTTAAGTTTCGAAAATTTGATGAACAACACTGACTTACAAATAACATTAGTTTATCGAAGGCATCATCCTTTTCTATACCCATTTTCAAAGATCTAACCCGCATCTTCTGGAACACAGAATTTTTTGAATTGACCGAATAAATGACCACGGCTACATAGGATTTCATAATTATATAATATATGATATCATATAGCAGTAAGCGTGAATAAAATTATCGGGATGTTTCGTTTCTATTAAAGGCTTCCGCGTTTATTACACCTTTTCTGAAAAGAATTTAAGATACAAAACATAGATAAACTTGTGAGATCCACTAATAATTCGTTTTATATATTTCGCATTGAATGGTGAGAATACGATGTCTCGCTAGTTTCTTCCAATTATTGCGGCCTTCAGTCCATTAAAATCACCTGTACACCAAGGTGAAGAAATATATAAATTAAGTTATCATATTACGAGATATCGCCACATGAAAACGTCAGCAACGCTTCAGGCAACGCTCCTAAGGTATCGTTGCGAGCACTTGAAGGTCAAGCCATCGCAAGCTGATTGGTGCGTCACATCGACAATTCGTGAAGTTTGTCAGAAGCGGTCAAATCAATACATTTTTAGATTTGAATTGCGTTCAGCCACACCGTGTCTGATAACGTCCACCCTACTAGTAACGAAGACGATGCCATCGTGATGATGCACGAGATAGGACGAATCTTGAGTGATATTATGTTATCTTGACGGTTAACAAGTTTGGACAATTTTGAGACGTGTTTGAAAGAAGTACATAAGTTAATATATATACTACCTTATCATATGACTTCTGTGGTTAATAGTTATTTTTGCAGTATACGCATACTAAGTACGTTATGTCAGTATGTAAAAAGAAGTGGTGACCCAACTCTAAAATATTTATTCGTGACATATGTCTGTACATATGGACGTGAACGCAGTTCGTCAGAGTCAGATGCTTGTGTTCAGGATGTAGATGATGAAAGTGATCATCATTCTTCCGAAGGGCATACAACTTCTAACTCACCACCGCAACCTAGACAAAGAAGACGACTTCGGTCATCTACGTATGCTTTACTTCAAATGAATCTATCCTTCAGGTCGAAATATTGCCATTGTCAATCTGGATTTTTGTTCCGTGCAGTAAATCGTGAGCTGAAAGTCACCTCTATCAAGACCGTGAACAACCATCCTTGAACAGAAGGATATATTTCTGTCGACCCATCGAGACGACAGTTGACATCAAGTGAACGTTTATATTTAAGAACGTTTCTATTGAGTAATACACCAACTCGTAGCTTACGGCATCTAGTTTCGTGGAAACTCCATAATCAGCTTACCAAGGACGATATCGCTTAGATGAGCTCACAGTTCTATCCAGGTTGTTGAACTCACATTGTAATTAATTGGGTTTAGACACTAAAAGCATAAATGACATTTTACAGCGCGTGCAAGCAAACACTGAAGTTAAAGTATTCAATGAACATGGGCACATATCTATGATTTGCGTTCTGAGAGGTAGTATGTATTGATTCGACTTATCAGACCAACAAAGTTGGGTAAGTAACGATTAGTAATAAATATATCATAAAGTTTTCCACTGTTCCAGCTAGTGATGACTTATAGTCTTGAGCACGGGCACACTGTTATGTATGCTATTTGCAGGCAAGAACGACGCGAAGATGTCGTAAAACTATTAGAATGCTTCAAAGACATAACGTGGGGTACTGTCGTTATGGATTCGGCAGCGACCGAAATTTCAGCAGTGAAGTCTACACACCGTAATTTGCTCATTCCATGTCTTCAACGTTTTCCAATTCTTCGGGTAAGAAATATAGTCTAATGTATCATTAATTCTAGGTTTCAATGTCATATCGAACCCTTTTAAATGAGTTCACATCTTTTGCAGCTAAAATTGTAACTGCAAATTATAAACGTGTTAGGACAGTGAGACAGGAATTTATAGATGGAGAATACATCCGGTGCTACGACAAGGGTATGATGTATGTTGTTGATACTTCACGTGCACGATGTGCTATTGGGCGTTTCAATGGCTACATGCTGCCCTTTGGTTGTATTCTGCATGAACATTCTAAGGATCTGATTCGTGGAGGTAAGTGTGTTCTTTTTTCTCTATAAGCTTTGTAGACTTTCTTCGACAGAGCAGCCAGTGGACAAAAAAATACATAAATTTGCTTGCTGGTTAGCAGTAAAACTAGAACCGGTTCGTCGTGGATTAGCAACATATACGCTAAGAGATTCATTCCAGTTTGCTGACAGACTAAACCATACGAATGTTACTGGCAAGTTCATGGTCTATTTAGATGTAACATCCTTGTTCACCAATATACCACTTTCTGAAACTATTGATATAATTTGTCAGAATGATGATCTCCTACATTTACAAGCCCCAGAATTCAAATAACTACTACTTATGTGCACAACGGATGTTCAATTCCGATTCAATCACACCATATATCGCCAAGTCAATGGCGTAGCAATGGGAAGCCCACTACGTCCAATTATGGCAGATATTTTTACGAGGTATCTTGAAAACACGGTACTTAAGCAGGCAATTAGTGAAACAACGGAATACTCCACATATGTGAACGACACATTATCTGTAATAATGAACAGCATTCAATTTGCCTGCTAAAGCCTTTCAATAACTCACACACTAACATACATTTCACTATGGAGCACGAACAGAACGACATGCTCCACTTTCTTGATGTTGCCATAAGACGCAGGGGAGACGGGACAGTCCGACGTTCAGCTTATAGAAAAAGTAATTGAAATGGCCTCTACCTGAATTTCAATCGCTTTTGTCCAATTAGTTACAAGAAAGCATTGGTTAAAACTCTATTTTACAGGGTAGAGAAGATATGTACCACCGACAAACTGGAAGAAGAAATAATGAACGTAGAAAAATGTCTGAGAGACAACTTTTATCTACAAAAGCTTATTAACAAATATAAAAAGCCCAAAGAAAACAAGACGGAAATAACTACGGTCAATAAAAAGACAGTATATATAAATCTTAACTTTAAAGGGGATAACGTCGCACAAATAATCAACAGGAGACTGAACACTGCTCTAGCCAGAACTTATCCCTCTGCTAAATTCCTAACTCTCTATAAAACAACATGTTCAATAGCCCAATTAAAGATCGATAAGCAACCCTTTCATGTTACCGCCAACTGTATTTATAAATTTACGTGTACCTGCCAAAGCAGCTACATCGGCCGAACTGAAAGGAGGGCATATCTTAGATTTTTTGAACAAGGGAAAGAAATGCTCCGAACAGAGCAATCACCAAAAATCTCCTTGATACAGGACATCAGGTAGATACCTTACAATCCTTTAGGGGGATTAGTAAGCAGCTAAATCTTTCAACTGAACTCTACTCACTATATTCCTATCAATGGTATTCATTATGTAATCAATTGTTTCTAACCCACTTTTGAATTGTTGTCACAATTAATGTTTTAGAATATTCTTTCACATTAGGTATGTATTTACAATATTCAGTAAGCAATTTAAACCCATTATGTAATTATGATTTTTAAATATCACATGTTATAAGCAGCTGACGAGAACCTAAGAAATAAGATGAATTCATGCCACTCTGATAGAATCTTTAATTGGAACGGCAAATTTATTGTTGTTCCTTTGATAAATGCATGACGATACAGAGTGTCAATGAAGAAAATGATGTGACTTCCACGTAACACATTCTAAATAAGGCTGTCACAACGTGACTTATCTACAATTTTAGGATTAGATCTACTGTTATACCAATACTAATAACGAAAATAGACAATAATTTTACTGACTCTTCCGTCTTCGTTGAATAGAATTCTAAATTATGCAACTACATTTTCAATATCTGATACCCTGTCTTTCCTCATTGTTGCTGTTTATACCTCCGTTATCTCACTGTTATCGTGTACGAAAAGTTGTTCAAGCTTAGTGGTCTCTCATTTATTTTTCGTGTCTACCACTTTCCCGATCTCTCTGAGAAAATCTCGCAATAATGTTTCGTGTATCCTTTTGGTTGCGACGAGATGATATTCTACAATACATACATTAACTTCCACTAAGCACTTCTTAAACCCTTAAATTTTTGCTGGCTGTCCACTCACGGTCTGTATTGACAACGTACATGGCCTAATCTTTTTACAGTGTCTTTCATCTATTAGCGATATTGCCACGCCTGTGCCAGCTAAACGGATCTCTATTCACCCGTATTTTTTTTACATTCTACTCTTATCGACCAACCTGACAATCTTAATAGTCTTTCTAAGGACAAAGTACGTTTTGTAACGTTTAAATAACTAATTTTACCGATTTCATGAGCAATCGCTGCAGTAATATCCAACATCATCGCACTCAGAGCATCCATTGTTCACCTGCGTGCCTCTTCCCATCTCCACCACTCGTCATAGGTACTCAAAATACTCTCCTACGGAGACTGGTGGCTTAATGTTGTCTGGTACCGATGATACGGTTAAGCTCATCAGCTCTCAGGCTGCTTTAGTCATTTCTATGATATTCATAAATTATACTGCATTCGCCAGTTGAGGCTGTTGTCCTACAATTTTAGTGACACTCCTGAGGAGTTGGGAAGGCAATAACTACTTCCATTTTCTGTACAGTACCGGTAACGAACGGCGTAACAAGTCAGTCGAAGAAGAGGCTAATATAAACAGATTCCCGTTTAGTGTGAGACAAATGTCTCTGAACATCTAAGACGTCACCTGCCGATCAGCTGCGTTCTCAGTCAGTCAGTCAATAACAACGTAGACTTTTGTACGTACGTACATCAGTTCGAGTTGCCACACCACCTTAACACAGAGATGCAGTTGTCGATTCAAATCCCATTGTGGTAGAGGTAGCAAGAGTGTAAGCAGTGGTCGGGAAGATTAGGGTTTGGAGATGTTATTTAACGATTATAATTCAGTGAAATGAATTTGGAAAGAGGAAAAAAAGGGACATGAAGAATTCAGAAGATTAGAATTTGGGAGAACACAAAGAGTGGATGCACCTGCGCCATTGCAAACGATTTCGAGCCATGTCATTCAGGGTCTCTAACCATCGGTTTACTATCATCTCGCGGTCCCCAACCAGGTAGTCTACACCTACCGACATGACTCAGACCACTTGTCAGTGACTTCATGGACTTGTGCCATGTTTTGGTCTGGCCGCCTCTAGCTTTCTCCCAACCTACTCCTATACCACTGAACATCGCACGTCGAGGCAGTCGGTCGTTGGGCATACGTAACACGTGTCCAAGCCATCTCAACTGATGAAGTTTCACTACTTCATCAATTGGTTTGCCATCCTTACCTAGTACCCGTTTCCTAACAACTGTGTTACTTACTCGATGGTCCCATGATATACGAGCAATGTTTCGAAGACACCTATGATCGAATACTAGTAACCTACGAATATCCTCTACTCTTACCGGCCATGTTTCACTGCCATAAAGTAGGACGGGACGTACTGCTGAGCAGTAAACACGTCCTTTGGTTGAT